TAGTATACAAAGGGGTTATATTTCAAAAGTTCATTTGTAATTTCACAGTTTTAAATTTAGATCATATTTTTATTGAAACACTAGGGTAAATGGTAAATGTTTTCATACCAATAAGGAAAAATTGAACAAAACTGTGAGTGTTTGAATATTAAGGATGAAAGGCTTATGATTTTTTTGAAAGAAAAAGAAATGAGAGCTTTCTTTGCTGTTTTGTTTAGTCTATAGGTTGGACCCCTAACCCCTTTGTGACTATATTTGGAGATAGGGCCTTTTTAAAGAGGTAATTGAGATTCCATGAGGTAATGATGCTGAGCCCTAATCCAGTAGAACAGGTATCTTTATACGAGAAAGAGATACCAGGGATGGGCACACAGAGAAAAGGCCATTTGAGGATACAGCAAGAAGTCAGTTAAATACAAGCCAAAAAGAGAGACCTCAATAGAAATCATCTGCCAACACCTTGATCTTGGCCTTCCAGCCTCCAGAACTGATAAAATAAACTCCTGTTGTTTAAGCCACCTAGACTGTAGGGTTTTTAATGACAGCACTAGCAAACTAATAAATCATATTGTTTTAGAATAGGATTTCAGCCAATGTTCCGTGAAACAGTAGTATCTAGGAAATGTTAATGGAGATTTCTTAAAAAGGATCCTTGGTTTAATAAATTTGGAAAATAATCTATAATATATTCTTCCCTTAAGGATTTACAATGCATATTCATGTTAAGCATACTTAGAAGTTTGAAGTAAAGAAATATGTTTATTTTTTTCAACTTCAACATTTCCCAAGTATATTTGTCTACAGAATGTCCCTCTTTTTGTTGAATGAATTGTGTATTTCCCATCCAGAAGAAAGAGGTTGGGGGGAGAGACATATGCCTCTTCATCTCCCTTAAAGATATAGTATGGCTTTATATTTCTATGTATAAGGAACATATAAAATGTGTTCTTAGTAAACCCTCAGCATGAGATATTTGCTGATATAACTTAGCTGAAAAGCAGAGTAAGCAAAGAAGGGGAAATGGATATCTTGTATGTAGGATATAGGAGCTCTAGCATCTTATTTTAACTTTTATTTAGAAAGTCATTGTAATTGATTAGTTTTATATAATGACTAATGTTTTTCATTTAGTTTGAAATACTGTATATTTTTATTGATATGGTTCTATATTTATAAGGATTATGTCTCTGATAACTTTATTTCTTGTTTACCCAAAAAGCATCACAGCAGCATAATACAGTAGTTAAAATTCTAGGCCATGGTATCAGACCATTTGTATATGAATCCTAGCACTTTTTCTCCCTTGGGCGGATTCTCTCATCAGATATATCCTCCTCTGAAATAAGTGTGAAAATAGTATCTAACTACCTTTTGGAGTTATTGTGAAGCACTTGCTATACTGTCTACTACTCAGTATTATTTTTATTCTGAGAAAAGTTACACTCGACACAGAAATGTGTAGAACAGCGGTTCTCAACCTGTGGGTCGCGACCCCTTTGGGGGTCAAACGACCCTTTCACAGGGGTCGCCTAAGACCATCGGAAAACACATATATAATTACATATTATTTTTGTGATTAATCACTATGCTTTAATTATGTTCAATTTGTAACAATGAAAATACATCCTGCATATCAGATATTTACATTACGATTCATAACAGTAGCAAAATTACAGTTATGAAGTAGCAACGAAAATAATTTTATGGTTGGGGGTCACCACAACATGAGAAACTGTATTAAAGGGTCGTGGCATTAGGAAGGTTGAGAACTACTGGTGTAGAACATGAGTTGTGATGCTCCATCATTACAAAGGACAGTGGTTGCTGGCTTTGTTGCTATGTTAGTTGAGGTGAAATTCACATAATGTTAACCATTTTAAAGTGAAAAGGTCGGTAGCATTTAATACATTCACAGTGGTGTATGACCATTACCTGTAGTTCTAAAACATTTTCATCACTTTAGAATCAAGCCCTGCACCCATTAAGCAGTGACTCATCATTCCCACTCTCCCCAACCCTGGCAAATACCAATCTGTTTTTCTGTATTTATGAATTTCTCTATTCTGGGTATTCCATATGGGTATAATCATAAAATGTGACCATTTATATCTGGCTTCTTTCACTTAGCATAGCATTTTTGAGGTTTATCTATGTTATAAAACTATCAGTACTTTGTGTCTTTTTATAACTAAACTAGTGACCCGGTGCACAGATTCGTGCACATTGAAAGAAAATTAATTAGAAGGTGACTGGCAGGGCGGGACTGGGAGAGACAGGCCGGACACACCCTGGAGCCAACCTCCCTCGGTCCCTCCCTGGCTTCTGCAAAGTAAGTGGGGTCCCTCCAGCAGGTGGGGTCCCTTGGCCTGGCCTGTGGGGATCAGGCCGAAATGGGCTCTTTGACATCCCCCAAGGGGTCCCAGAGTGCGAGGGGGCACTCTGCAAAGTTTCTGTCGTACAGGGTGTGGAATGCAAATGCAGGAGCTGCCCCCTGGTGGTCAGTGTGCTCCCACAGGTGGAGTGCTGTTCAGCCAGAAGCTGGCTCACGGCTGGCGAGTGCAGTGGTGGTGGTGGGAGCCTCTCCCACCTCCATGGCAGCACTAAGGAACAGAGAGCAGAGTGGTAAGGAGCAGCGAGCAGGCAGGCAGTAAGGAGCGAGGGCTCCTGGATATCCCTGAGAGCCCCCAGACTGCAAGAGGGCGCAGGCTGGACTGAGTCCCCCCCTCACCCCCTCGCCCGCCAGTGCATGAATTTTGTGCACTGGGCCTCTAGTGTATAGATAATATTCCATTATACATATATATCACAATTTGTTTATTCATTTATCTGTTCATGGATATATGGGTTGTTTCCACCTTTTGGCTATTGTGAATAGTACTTCTATGAACATTTATGTAGAAGTATTAGTTTAAGTACCTGTTTGAATTCTTTTGGGTAAATACCTAGGAGAGGAATTGTTGGGTCATATGATAATTTTATGTTTTTTAACTTTTTGAGGAACCACCAAACTGTTATACATAGGGGCTGAAATAATTTACATTCCTACAAGCAATGTACAAGGGTACCAATCTCTATATCTTCACCAATACTTGCCGTTTTCCCTTTTTGTTTTTGATTATAGCCATTATGGTGGATGTGAACTGGTATCTCATTTTCCTAATAGCTAATGATTGATATCGACTATCTTTTTCATGTGTTTATTGGCCTTTTGTATATTTTCAGAGAGATGTCTATTTAAATCCTTCACCCAATTTTAAGGGGGTTGTTTGTCTTTGTTTTTGAATTGGTAAGAGTTCTTTATATATTCTGGAAAGTAGACTCTTACCATATATATAATATGCATATATTTTGTCCCATTCTGTAGATTGTCTTTTTACTTGATAATGTCCTCTGATACACACAAGTTTTAATTTTCACAAAGTCCCATTTATCTATTTTTTCTTTTGTTGCTTATGCTTTTAGTGTCTGTTGTATTTAAGAACCCATGGCCAAATACCAGATCATGCAGATTTACTCCAGTGTATTCGTCTAAGAGTCCTATGATTTTAACTCTTAAATTTGGATCATTAATCTTTTTTTTTTTTTAGTTAATTTCTATATGTGGTGTGTCGCAGGAGTCCAGTTTCATCCTTTTTCATCCAGTTTCCCATCACTATTTGCTGATAAAACTATTATTTCTGTTGTTATTGTTTTTAAATATATCTCTTCAATAAAAATTTTCTCTAGTGAAGTGATTAAGATCACTGGTTCTGGAGACAGAACACTTACGTCCAAATCTGGCATTACTCCTTAACCCCTGTGACCTTAGGCAAGTTTTTTAAACTTCCTAATACTCAACTTTGTTATATACAAAATAATAGAAAATCAACTCCCTAGCATTATTATGAATATTATATTGTATAATATATGTAAAATAGTTATAAGATTCCTGACAATGATAGATCAGTTTTGGTAAGAATTACCATCCATATCTGTGATCCTTTGAAAAAAAATCACTGTCTTATGTAATAAAAGGCTAATATGCAAATAACAGCGGAACGAGGGATAGATATGACACACACTGACCACCAAGGGTCTGATGCTCAATGCAGGAGCTGCCCCCTGGTGGTCAGTATGCTCCCACAGGGGGAGTGCCACTCAGCCAGAAGCCAGGCTTGCCAGAGAGCTTACAGCTGGCAAGCACAGCAGTGGTGGCGGGAGCCTCTCCTGCCTCCACAGCAGTGCTAGACTACTATGAGAGGGCGCAGGCTGGGCTGAGGGACACCCGCCCCCCCCCCGCACCCCCACCCCCCCACACACACACACCAGTGCACAAATGTTGTGCATCGGGCCTCCAGTTTAGTAATAATTAACCCTAATTATCATCCATTGGGCCTAGATAAGTACTTTAATTCTTCAAAGGGTAAGACTGATGAATTAAGATAAATTTCAGGGCATTGTGTATGTTATTTATTCTTAACAATCCCTATTTTATCAGAAACCTGAGATTTAGAGTGTTAACTAACTTTGCCAACAAATAATGATCAAGTGGCAGAGGTGGGATTCATTGGAGCATCTGCTGCTTCACTCTGTTATGGTGACTTAGTGCAGAAAAAACCTTTAGTAAACATAACCTTATTTCTTTCTGGAAGTTCATATAATACTGGAGTAGGGAAAGATGAAAAGGATGTGTGTGTATGTGTGACATATACATGTGCCGTATAAAGCATTGTATACTAATCAGTTCTCTACAGGAATATTTTACCGTGATTTATGTGTACTTTTGGCTAAACCTCAGACTAGAGCACACTGCACTCATTTTTATAATTCTGTATATAATCAATATTTGTAATTCAAGTTTGAATATTTGATGTTTTTAGTGCACTGAATTGAAAGAAAAATTTAATATCAAATCAATGTGTATTTTTCACTGAGATCTCTGAGCCCAGTTTTTTAAATGGTATTAAAGAAAATTTTACAGCCCATACATTTAGTTTTTCTTTTGTGTGTGGTTCTCTCAGATGTAATAAAGGAACAGAATCGAGAGTTACGAGGTACACAGAGAGCTATAAGCAGAGATCGAGCAGCTTTAGAGAGACAAGAAAAACAGCTGGTAAGTAGAACATTAAATTTCAGTTTAACTTTTCAAACAAATTTGGAAATTATTGTTGGAATAATTAGCTAACTAGGAAAAAGACAGATGGTAGGTGCTAAGAGATTTGCTTTACTAATAAATGGCATTGAACACCTTTCTGCTCTTTCTGCTTGCCTTTGTTTATTGTGTCATTCTGCTGACTTATCAGGATTCTGTGTATTCTACTATTATAAAATCAAAGTATTCTTCAGTTTGTAAAAGTTATGAATGCCTAGGAAGAAAATATTGCTCAAAACAGAGCCAAATTTTTCTCAGCTAATAACAAAGATAATGTAGTCTTCAAAAACAAGAGAGGGTTACAAGACACTCATAGGTGTCTTACTTGATATTTGAACTTATTTGATATTTTAAGTATCATTGTGTCTGTGATAATGAGTGTATTTTTAAAAATAGATTGACTATCTTTAACTATTTTGTTATGTTTTTAAATATATGTTGCTTAAAATATTTTAATAAACAGCATGACGTATAATTGACATGCAATAGACTGTACATATTCAAAGAATACAGTTTGATACATTTTGACATACCTATTAACTACAATCTAGGTAATGACCATATCCTTCATCCCTAAATTTCCTTATTCCCTTTGTAATCCTTCCTACCCATCCCTCCCTGTCTTCCTCCTCCTCAGTCAGGCAAACACTGATCTGTCACTGCAGATTAGTTTACATTTTCTAGAACTTTATATAAATGGAATCATAGAATATGTATTCTTTATTTCATATGGCTTCTTTCACTCATAACTTTTGAGATTGATCAATTTTGTTGCATGTATCTGGATTAATTCATTTTTATTGATGAATGTTATTCTATTGTGTGGATGTTTCACAATTTGTTTATCTGTTCACAGGCCAATGGACATTTGGGTTATTTCTAGATTTTGGCTATTTTGAATAAAGTTGCTATAAACATCCAATTGAAATCTTTTTGTGAACATATGTTTTCATTTCTCTTGGGTATATTCCTGGAAGTGGGATTGCTGGGTCATAGATTAAATGTATATTTAACTGTATAAGAACGCTCAACAGTTCTACGAAATGGCTGTGATGTTTTCTGTTCCCACCAGCTATATATGCAAGTAAAGCTGTTTCACATCCTGGCCAAGAGTTGAAGTTAACAGTCTTTTCCCCTGTAGCCATTCTAGTGGTGTGTAGCAGATTGTCATTTTAAATTGGATTTCCTAATCGCTAATGATGTTCAGCATCTTTTCATGTGCCTGTTTGCTTTTTACATATCATCTTTGCCAAAGGGTCTACTGAAATATTTTACCCATTTTTTAAAAGTTGTTTTCTAATTATTTAGTTGTAAGAATTCTTTATATATTTTGGACACAAGTAGTTTATTAAATATATCTTTGCAAATATTCTCCCCAGTTCTTGGCCTGGTCTTACATTTTCTTAATAGTATTTTTTGAAAAGCAGATGTTTTTATCTTTATCAAGCATAATTTATTATTTTTCTGTTATTAGTACTATTAGTGTCCTAAGAAATCTTTCTCTAACCCAAAGTCACTAATATTTTCTCTTATATTTTCCCCTGGAAGTATTAAAGTTTTAGTTCTTACATTTAGAACTGTGAACTGCATTGAATTAAATCACTATGTTGTGAGGTAGGGTAGAGATTCACTCTTGCATATGGAAATTAAGTTATTCCAACATCATTTGTTGATAACGTCTTTCCCTGTTCAAATACCTTATCATCTTTGTAGAAAATCAATTGTCCTAATACATGTGGGCCTAATTCTGGACTCTATGCTATTCCATTAATCTGTGACTATTCTTAAGCCAATATTACACTTTTTATTAGTGTATCTTTATAGTAAGTTTTAAAGTTATATATAGTGTTAACTCTTCAACTTTGTACTTCTGTTTTCAAAATTGTTTTGGCTATTTTAGGTGCTTTGCATTTCCAAATGAACTTTCAAATAAAATTGTAAATTTCTACATAAAAGTTCTGTTTTGATTGGGATTACATTGAATAGGTAAACTATTTTGGGAAGACTTGACATCTTAATACTATTGAGTCTTACAATCCATGAACATGTTGTATCTCTTCATTTATTTAGATCTTTCAATTTTCTCAACAGTGTTTGTACTTGTAATTAGGCTCTACACTTCTCTTATCAGGTTTATCCCTAACTATTTCATATTTTTGATGCTAGATATTTTAAAAACAAATTAAATTTGTTTTTTTGTTGCTGTTATGTAGAAAGAAATACATTAATATTTTCAGTATTGATCTGTAATCCTGTAATCTCCCTAAACTTCCTTATTGTAGTAACCTTTATGTATAACCTATTAGATTTCTACACAATCATGTCATCTATGGATAAATTAAACTTTTTATCTTCCTTTCCAATCTTGATGCCTTTTTTTTAAAGATATACCTTATTACACTGGCTAAAACTCTTAATGTTAAATAGAAGTGATTATAGCAGTCATCCTCATATTTATCCTCATATTTACTGATCTTAGGAGGAAATATTCAGTCTTTCACCATAAAGTATGATATCACAACTAGGATTTTTGTAGACTTCCTTTCTCAGGTGAAGTTCCTTTTTATCTATTTTGCTGAAACTTTTTATCAGGAATAAATTTTGTCAAATGTTTCTTATTTTTATTTTTTGCATCTATTGAGATGATTATCACATAGTTTCTCTTTAGTGTATTAATTTAGTGAATTACTTTGATTTTCCAAAGTTGAATCAAGCTTTTGCTCCTGGGATAAATGCCATTGGTAATGAGGGGTGTGTGTGTGTGTGTGTGTGTGTGTGTGTTAATATATATATATATATATATATATATATATATTTACACACACACACACACACACACACATACATATACATGTATATGTATATGTATAATGGTGTGTGGT